AATCATATGTCGAGATTGATTGACCTGAATGTTTATTTGGTGGCTTATTACTATAGAATGCTTTGTTTTAGGTTCAAATTATTATTGTTAATTAAAACATCTTCAGTGGAAATTTGTTAATCCTAAAGACATAGAAGTCCATATATTTTCATTTTTCAGGCATAAACAATCCAAATTGTGGGTATCGAGGCAATCACGAGAAGAACGTGGTGATATTGCTACAGGTTTTTAATATGAAGAACTGAGATAACAGACCCCAAATTTTAGTATAACAAAACTTTACATTTTGTGAAGGGACCAACACAAGAGATATGAGGTCATTCGTTTAGGCTCATGAAGTAAAATAAAGCCGAGCACGAATTTCTGACTTAGCCTGGGACAGCCTCAGTTCAGTCGCTCTCTCCCTGCTGTGCTGCTCCGTTTCAGGCTGATATTGCTCTTTGTTTTCTATCTTGGAGAACTAATAAACCTACAGCCTTTATTGAGGATGTAATGAAATCCATTTATTCATCCATCCATTCATAAATTCTTCCACTTATCTAATATCTACTAATTGCCTGCTTGTACTTAGTGCTGTGTTAGGTGCTGGGAAGACAAAGATTAGGAGATTAGATAGAGGGATTCAACATATGCAAGGCTCTGAAATGGTAAGAACCATGGTAACTTTCAGGAGCAAAGAGAAGGCCAAGGGCCAGAGCAAAAAAATAAAATTGAAAGACAGAAAGTTGGAAGAGGCCAGGGACAATTATGTAGGACTCCATAGGACATGAAAATCCAGTATATCAAATAGCTCTTCCCTCTGCAATGATGGGACACAGGAGAACAGAAGTTACATTCACCCAACACAAGACACATACAGTGGAAAAGCAATAAGATAGTTGACCTCTGCTCATAAGCATGATTACAGGTAGGAAGTTTAATCTTTATATAGTTATGTTTATTTTTTTTCAATTTTAGCATTATAAGATTGGAATAGATAATATTAAAGATGTTGTCCCCAAATTCCCAAACCAGGAAGCAAGTAAGGTTCTATTCATGCAGAATAAAAATTTTTGGTTTTGTTTCTTGAACTGAGTTAAATAAACTCTAGAAAAATGAACTAGTTGTGTGAGATTTGGGGCAACAGTCTCTGTCATACAGTCCACCTTATTTTTCAAGTAGTTTCATCATCTCATAGGAAATAAAAGTTCCCAGCCTAGGAAGAAAAGAAAGCAGATTAGCCCCTAATTTAGAGAGGTAAGGTTTAAAATAAGAAACAAAGTGCTCTTGAAACCAGAGAACACACATTAGATTGATTGGCTAACTGCAAACTTTGAAAATATAAAAGAAATGCATTCTTTTGAAATACAGAAAAACAAAACATCTGATTCATTTCACAAGGGCAAGTGAAAAGAAGAGGGGACTTTAAATTACTTAAACTTTAAAAGAGAAAAAATTTCTTACTCTAGAGGAGAGAATAGAAATACAATATGGCAAAAACTTCCCTACTTCAGGGAATAGAAAATACACTCGGTTTGCAAATCAGTCATTTTTTGAAGCGGTTTTGTGGTGAAGGCACATTGTTAACTTTAGCTGTATGTCTATCTCTTCATATTCTCAGAATATTCAATAACTCAGTCATTTCATCTAACTTCATGAAATAGAATACTAACATTTTATGTCTCCTGAATTTAGTTTAACATTTTTATCCCGTTGGTATGCAAATTCAAAAACGATCAGTAACAATGTGAACAATTGCCAGTGTAAATCAACGTATCGTATTATGATAAAAAGACAGATTTGATCAAGGGTAAGTAAAGCTATAGAGCAGAAAGAGGTCACAAGTACAGAAGTCACTGTGCGAGTCCGGATGTTCAGCACAGTAAAGATAAGCAAGAGGGAGGCTATGAAAACAAAAGTGAAGTTCTACATATAAGACCAAAGTTACAATGAGCTTTATGAACGTTTTGTTTCTTTAAAAACATTCCCTCTTATTGTTACACTTAATAAATTTTGCTTGGAACCCAGTCTCCTAACTGTATCCATTATGACAAATATAGACACAAGGCAAAAATAAGGGAGATTAAAAGTAAACTATTAATTCTGCAAGGTGCTGTCAATCCAACTCACCGGATCTCTGAAGTGGAGATTCATGTTCTAAAGGGGAGGTCCTTCTAGTTCTGATATCAGCATAGACTATATCTTCAGCCATTGCAGGTATCAAAAGGGAAGACGAGACCACAGATGGTGCTTTTCTGAAGGGAGAATCATATTTCTGAAAGCAAACTTCTGCTAAGTTAAGTATATTGAGATGGAGACTTACTTCTGCTCCCCAGGTGGGTGGACTTCCCCAAGTGAGTAAACAACAAAAACAATGTGTTCAGTCCTATTAATCAAGATCATAGGTTTTTGAATAGTTTCATAATATGGAAGAAAACTACTATGCATACAGTAGCTTATTCTTCAGTTAGTTTTCTTCCTAAATTTGGAATACTCCTAACTTTGATTAATGCCACAGAAGTTATCTCACCACTTTTTCCATAAACCACTTCCACTTTCCGTTCAGACATATTCTCTTGCAGAAACTGTGACTACCAGCATCTTCTCCAAAGTGGAATGGGAATTTGGGAAGGGGGACAAGAAAGAGGAGGAATTCTATTATAAAAGTGATAGAAAAGGGTAATACTTCTTTCATCCTCATCTTGAAATGCGGTGTATGTATCTAAATACTTAAAAATTCTCTTAAAGCTATTTCTTCTCTCGTATGCTTTACAGTAACAGTAAACTGAGGTGAACCATGGATCATGGAGAGGACTTCTACAGTGGAAAAGTTATATTTATAAGACACACAACTGAGGTGAACCATGGATCATGGAGAGGACTTCTACAGTGGAAAAGTTATATTTATAAGAAACGCAAATAACACTCTGTCAAAATAATTCAAGGTTATGGCATAAAAGAAAACAAGCCCAATTTTAAAATGAACTTTACAGAAATTTGCCATCGGATACAATATATTAAACGTAAATTTTTATCTCCTGTTTCTTCTAAAATTCCACTGAAATTATATTAAGTAAATTAAAATTGAATTAAAATTTATAAATCTAAAAAACACAAAAAGGAGTGGGGTTTTATCAGTTAATTAAAAATTTCAGCAAATTCCTGGGACATGGAGAGTAGATGGTTATGTGATAATTAATAAAGCAAAGCAGAGAAAAGTACAGCCTAGAATATGCAGAGGTAAATAGCTGTGAAACTCCCATAGGACTCATACTCAGAAATGTCAGATGGGAAAAATGTCAGGATCATAGCCAGCAGATTAACTGAAATTCTGCATATAAATAAGTTGACTTCCTCAGTTCCCACCCAAATGCATTGCTCAGAATTATCTAAACTGCAGTCACCCTTCCTTCCTAAAATCCAGAGAATTTAACCTACCTTAATCAAATAGCTAGAGAGTAGATCTTGGCTTTGTGGCATTTAGGGTTCCTCAGTATAGTAACTGTCTCCCATGAGATTTCTGATTCTGATAGGCCTGGGACACTGACCTCTGTCTCTCAAGATTATTTGAACACTCCCTCTTTTCTGGGCTGTTCTCATATTTCACATGGTTTTGGTTTCAATTTTGATATTTGTTTGGTTTTAGGTTTTCCTCATAGTTCATAGTAGAGTACTGGATTTGGAATTTTAAAAGCCTGGACTTGAGTCTTGATTACAAAATATAGTAGCCAAACAACTGGACAAATTTATCTTTTAATGGCAACGTTCTAATCTGCAACAGAGATATAATATGATCAACATTAAACTAGCATTGTGACATATGGGACATTGTAAGATGTAATGAACTATATAAATATTGTTAATTTCTCTTTCTCACCACTTACTTCCTGCAATAACATGTACTCTCCTACCTCCTAAACTTTTTGTCATCTTTTTATGGTGGTCCACTTTATTTTTCCTGATCTATGAAACCAATGTCCTAAAAGAGGCATTTATGTGTTTGCAAACAGAGGCTGAAAATAGTAATGTTTAATGAACAATGCTTACTTTATAATAAATTATATGCATTCTTAAGAATTTGGAAAGGTACCTTTCTCTACAGACTCATTAAAGTACAATGCAGGAAGATAAGTTAAAACAGCAAAATAAAAGATTAAAAGTGAATAGTGTTAAGATGTTGAAGACACAGAACAGACAGTATTGTGTGGTAAGTAATTAACGATATTTTGGGGGAAGCTAAGAAAAGGGAAGTGCAATTCAGGAGTGTCAAAAAAGTTACAAAAAGAGGAAATATGTTCTAGAATAAGGAGTAAAATACAAGCTTAAAAGAAATCATTAACTTAAAATGTAAGTAAAGAAATACAGGTTTAAACAAAAGTTGAGGGATCAATATTCTCTAACTAGTAAATAATGTTTAAAAGTAACTCAGAGACATTCAGTTAGCACAGAATTTGCTAATTTGCTCACTTTAGGATCAAGAGGTTTTTGGTCAACAAGACAAGATATATCGAGAGAGAAATAGAGAGCAAAGAAGAGAGAGGAAGGGAGAGAGTGAAGTTTTCCATAATTCGAAGAGTTTTTGTTATACCTGTGAACTTGAAGTATAGCTTGATGGAATATAAAAGTGTATTTTTTAGATTAATTTTTAAATTTATTATTAGCATATTTATTCCTACAAACCGTGATATTTCTTTATGCCCGTTACAATATAGAAGTTTAGACTGGTTAATCATATTTCCTCAAAATTTTAGTGACACCTTCTGCTAGATCACATAATTGTTAAAGAGTACAATACCATTCTGATTTCTGATCCTATGTCTGGGCCTAACTTTTCTATCTGGAGACCTTCAGAATCTTTGATTTATTCCTAGAATTCTGAAATCCCGTAGATGTCTTGCGAGTCTGTTTTCTCCCTTTCTGTTGGGCATTCAGTCAGATTTTTAAACAGGAAACTCAAAGTCCTTAGCTTCTGAGAAAATTTCTTTTTATATTTATTTTTTAAATTTTCTTCCCACCCTTATTCTAATGTCTTTTTCTGGCATTTCTATTAGTGAGATATTAGTGCTCTAGGCTGATGTTATAATATTATTACACACTGTACCATTCCCTTTTATCTCTCTCTCTTTAGATTTTATTAGCTAGGAGAGTTCCTCAAGTTTTTTCTCCACCCATTTTATAGAATTTGTTTTTGGTAATTTATTTTATTACCACTTCAATTTCTGAGGGTCCTTTCTTGTTCTGAAAATTTTCTTTCTTCACGCTTTGTTCCTTTTGTTTAAGTGAGGTAGTAATTTCTCTTCCTCCCACTCCAGAGATTATTAATTATAAGAATTTTTTAAATTTTTTTCTCTCTTTACCATCCATTTCAGTTTGAACTTTACCTTATATGTGCTTTTTTGGTTTCTGCTTTTATTAAAGACTTTCCTAAATATCAAGTATTAATAATACGTAAAACTGAGGTACTAAATTAGCAATGGTATGTTCTGTATCTGGGACCAGTGAACATCACCATGGATATTCTGGCAGAGATCGTTTGTTTCTTCTTATTCTCAACATTTGTAGGTCTTTTTTATTGGACTGGTCAGTATTCTCAAGGAGAAATTCTCCAGTTTTCTGCCTGGGTGCCTTAAGCCTAGTTATCAGGATCTTGAAGTTAATTAGCAGATGGGTCAAAGCATGTCTCCCATTATTCAAAATTTCAACTAATTCCTCTGTTTTTAATAAAGCACACCCTGTGTTAATCTTTCCTAGAGACTTCCACCCTGTATTCAGATTCCTTTCGGTTTAGTTTTGCCAGGGAGTACGCTTCCAATCTTCTGCCAAAAAGTAGGGATGCCATTTGGTTGCTCATGGTGCTTCTTGTATGTATTTTAATCCTCCAGTTTTTACCGATCATGAACACCTACTCTATTAGTTTTCTATTGCTCAATAACAAATTACCATAAACATAGTAGTTTAGAACAATGTTGTAAGGTAAATGTGGGACAGAGACTTATTTCTCCCTCCCGGTGCATACCAGAGTTCCGCCTCCCCCTGGGAACCTATCCCTGACCAAGGAGTTTACCCAAGGAAAGGCACGTCTCCTTTAAGACAAATGGAAGACAGCGGGAAGCAGGAGCCCAGAGTAAATGAATTAGCATGTAAATGGAGTTGTGCCAGGAGGGGTTAACTTATCCACTCAGCCAGATCTCCTGTGAACTCTGAGTCTGGTGTGTGTCTACACATAAGCATGAGAATGATTTACGCCTCTCTTTTGATCTGTCCACTATATAACCCTTGTATGTACCCCATGGCAGTGTGGATTTCTAGCTGACCTGCTGCCACCAGCACCTCCCTTAAGTCTGATAAACCCATGTCTACCTATTGGCCTGGGTGAGTTCTTTGGAACAGGCAAACTCTATGCGAGTGCCCTTTTAGATTTAGGGCTTCTGCGATACAAATGCACACTTGTTATCTCACAATGTCTGCGTGCCAGAAGTGTGGGCGTGGCTTGGGTGGATGCCATGCTTCAGGCTCCCACAAGGCTGAAATCAAAGTGCTGGCTGTGGCTGTGGTCTCATCTGAGGCTCCACTTGGGGAGGATCTGTTCCTAAGCTCACATGGTCCTTGGCAGCGTTCAGTTTCCTGTGTGCTGTCTACTGAGTTCCTCAGTTTCTACTTAGCTACCAGCCAGATGAAACCTTCAGTTTTATTGCCATAAGGACTTTCTCAATATGGCATCTTGCTTTCTCAAACCCAGCAGTGGAGAGAGTCTTCTCCAGCTAGACAGATGTTGCAATCTTATGTATGCCTTACTACATATGAGGGTAAGGCGGAAAGGTCATAGCAGGATTTGTATTATCTTCTAATTCCATGTTTCCACAAACTTTTTGAAGTACTTTCCTACACATAATTATGTATATCCCATTATGTTTGCTGTATTTTGTGGGTTAGAGGCAAGTCACAGGTCCTATCCACACTCGGGGTGTGGGGATCAGACAAGAGTATGATCAGAACCCAAGGAGCACAAGGGACAACACAGAGTTAGTGGTGCAGGCTCTTGAATCCTTTAGTATCCAGGGGTCTATGGCCTAAGTCACTTAACATATTCCAAAATTTGTGAACATTTCTCAAGTACGTTTAGTTACTCCTAATCACTTTTTATGTCATTAAACATGTTTTATTAATGCTATTTTAATGGAGTTTTTGGAGAAAGCAAAAACAAATATATCTGTTTAATATTACAAGTTTACCTGAAAGTACTCTACTGAATTTTTTTTCTCTTGCTTCAGTGACTCCTCTCATATATGACACCCAATCTGTTGAAATACACCCACACTCCACATTCAATTAAACGTATATATGTAATTTTTGAAACGTTATGAAATTAAATGTGCTGTTATTGATTTTGTTAAGATAGAATA